GCCCTGCCCCATCTCCCGTCACCCCCGCCCTCCCCGCCTGCGGTGGCCCGACTCCTGCCGTCATGCGCCCCCCCCCTTATTCTGCGCCCTGTATTGCTCCTGCCCCCGCCTGCGGCTAGTGGTGGTGCTGATGTTGTTGTTGTTGTGGCTGCGACTGGTGCTGTTGGCACATTTGATGAGGGATCTAACGATGGAGGCCTTCTCCCGGCCCGCCGCCTTGATCCACCGGCGGTGCCCATCACCTCCTGGACGTTCCCTTTTCCCCACCAATCGGGGCCCTTCTTGCTAGTGTCGTCGGTGCCGCCACTCTCATCATCACGACTAGAGCCAACGCCTTCAGAGCCAACGCCTTCAACGCCTTCAGCACCACCGATACTACGACCATCGCCACCACCATCGCTGCTGCTGGTGTGGCTGTCGTTGTTGCCACTTCCTACCACCTCCCCTTCACGCTGGCCCGCTGCTGCCGCCGCCGCAGCAGCAGCAGCTGCCACGGTCCGGTTGACGTCGAGAGCGCGGGAGGGAAACGACTTCCTCATCTCCACCAGCAGCAGCAGAGCTCGCTTCCAGTCCGCGGTTCGGCCGCACGCAGTTATCGCCGTCGTGTACGTCGCCGGGCTCGGCTTCACGCCGTCCTTCCGCATCGTCTGTTGTGGTCGCAACCGAACGCAAGATCAGCTCCAAGTCTTGGAGGGAAAAAGACCAAAAAATATGTGTTACGCTGTTGTATGCATACGAAAACGCACACCAAGAATATTGTTGTTTCTTCCGGGCAAGAAAGCAACGCTATTTTTACGCGCAGAAAATGATGCAGAAAATGATGCGAACCCATAGTCCGTCACCGCATGACCTCTACCTACGATGGTACCATTAAAGCAAGACCATATGGTCTACCAAGGCGTACCGTTCAAGTGGACCATACGGTTCAACAAGGCACTTTCAGGGAGACAGGTTCATCGCCTTGGCGCAAAACAAAAAGCTGCCCCGCCCCGAACCGGAACCGAACCCAACCCAACCCAACCCAACCAAACCCACCTCAAGAAGTGAAAGCGACAGTTTCGTCTGCCCCACGGCGGCACACGCCTCCATTACCGAATTGTACAAGATCTCTCCGACTTCGAAATCGAGGCTGCGGACTTCCTCGAGTATCTTGAGAGCAGCGGTGCTGCGACAGGAGACAAGAGAGGAGCCAGAGAAGGGAGCAAAGCAAAAGTGAAGGGCCGGGTGAGGGCAACAGGAGTCGAGTGTCGATCGCATGAGGTGGGCAGAGAAAAGATCGAACAACCGAACAAAAAGGCGGAGAAAAGATCGAACAACCGAACGAAAATATCGAACAGAGAAGGATAAACACAAGAGCGATGACGGCAGTGGTCATCGGGGACTCGCTTCATTCGGGCTCGGCCAAAGTAATAACTCCTCTCTCTCTCTCTCTCTCTCTCTCTCTCTCTCTCTCTCCTGGGACTGTCTGTCTGCCTATCTGCCCATCCATACTTGCCTCACTCGAGCCTGTCGCAATGGGCAATACGCACGACGCCGTTGCCCCCCTCCCTTCCCCCACGTACTTGATTATCAAAGCCTTGACAAATACCAATGGGACACACCGACAGCGGCACGCCCCGTCCATGTCCAAAATAGTCATCATGTGGCCCACAGAACGCACCCTGAAAGACCAAGTAATCTTACTCGTGCGGCTGCACACATTGTCAAGACATCAACACACGGACACATCACACACCACGTTGACTTTCCCGGTGTATCCTACGGTACAGCATTTCATACGTTTCGTTTCTGTTCCTCGCCAAAGGTCTTCCTCCGCCCCGCCATCCGCCCTCGGTTGTTCTCACCAATTGCCTCCCTTAGCACACGCGTCGGCGGCGCTGGAGTACGTCGTGAGATTCGGCGTCACCCCGTCCGCCTTCATCCTCTCAATCAGCTCCAGTGCCAGCTTCCACTTGCCCTGTTCAACGTTGTCGTCGAATGCGCGCGAGAACCAAGTGCAAAATGTGTGATACTTTCATCAGCTTAGCTGCATTTCGGGTTCAAAACGGCAAAGAAGGGCGTGACGATCCTTTCCAGCCAGAGGCATGCTACCAGGCAGATTTAACCGCATCCGAAGGCCTAGAAAAAGTATTAATCCTACCCCCCAGCTCCAGCGCCAAAACAGCAACATAAGTGAATCATTGTATTGTGCGGATTCCTGACAAGAAAAAAGCTGCAACTCAACAGCACTCGCAATACATGTATGACACAAACAAGCCTGAACCAACACCGTTGTTCAAATGCATACCACACGAGACCAAGACAAAAAAACACTTCGCCCTCTTCTTTAGGTCCAATGCCACTCTAACTAACCGCGGGAACAACAAGTCAGCAGACTCGCCTTTCTCGCGCAGGCGTGAATGGCGCTGTTGTACGTGAAGCAGTTCGGGGATACGCCCTTTCCCCTCATGCCGTCGAGCAGGGACAACGCCGCCTCGAGGTTTCCGCCGCGGCCGCAGGCCGTCACCTGCAAGTTCATGTTGCGTCCATGTACGAATAACTGGGTCATGCAAACCACCAAGACGGAAACAAAGTTGAACCACAAAAAGCTCCTCCATGTCGACAAGGGCGCCCACCAGTTCGAACGAGATTGGACAGAGATCTATCTCTTACCGCCGCTGTGTAGGTGAACTCGTTCGGCTCCAGCCCATCCTGCTCTCTCATCTGCCCCAGTAGCCTCAGCGCCCCCTTCCAGTCTCCGGTCTTCGCGCAGGCGCTGGCCGCCGCGGTGTAGGAAAACTCGTTTGGCGGGATCCTTCCGTCACGCATGCTCTGCAACGTACAGAGGAGGGGGGGCGGGGGCGCGGGGGGGGGATGAGGTACGGGTCGTCTCAAGGGGAGGCCAGGGACAATCAAACATAAGTAGTGCGATCTCGCTGTCGGGGGCGCTCTGTAATAAGCATAGCAGAGGGTATGGAGGCGTGACGGGGGGCGACCTTCATCACGAAGTAGCTTTCGGGGAGAAATCGAGGGATCAGGCCCTCCACGGAGAGGAAGACGAAGACATGTTAGGGGTCAACAACGATACAATTATACGAAGCGTGTGGAGACTTGTATCAGCGACGTAGTTAAAAGCATGCTCAACGGTGCGTAGCAGCTGCGTGTACTTGTACGCTATCCACGTCTTGATACACAACGGCAAGATAGCAGTCGAGAGTTCAACTGGGCCACGTGACCAAGTCAAAAGAGTACCCATGGAACGTTCCACAATTACGTTCCCCAGAGTATCGACCACCACTCTTCAACAACAACAAAGAAGGTAACCCACTCTGCAGTTGCATTCCATGCATTATTCCTTGCGCTACCGTTCGGCCAATCCCTCCACGAACACCTACGCCAAATTCCTTTCTGTTCATTACAAGTCGTTTGACTGGTCAGCCGGGAAGCGCGGTCGATGCAAATAACAACAACATGAACGCACCTCAAGGAGCTTCAAGGCCTCCGCTGCCTTCCCGTTGTCGCCGAGGGCCTTGATGGCGACCGTATATGGGCGGCCGTCGGTAACTAGGCCGAGATTGAGCATCTCCTCCAGAGCAGGCACGACGTCGCGCCACCTGCTGGTTGGTGTACGTGCGTGACATTGGATGACTTGCGTGCGAATGACTACTTGCTGTACGTGTTGACCCTGCGAACTACCGCTGGTGAGAGGATGCCGGTAATACTTGGTCAACGTATGAGTGGACAACACCAGCCACGAATGCGCCGCTTTCATATGTCACATGAACGGAGTCCCTCCAACAGTGGGGGGGACAGAGTGCATAGTAATCAAGTTTCAGCACGCAGCAAGTAAAAGAGCCACACCGAATTTGTTGTGCGTAGAACGTTTTCTTCGATTGGCATCGACCGCGCAAAAGTTGCTGAGTAGGGACGCCACACGCTAGCTTGGTCAGAGCATTAGACGCGAAAGCCTTCCGAGTCCGCGAGCGTGTGCATGTGAAAAACAGGTGTGTATTTCCTCCCTGGTTTCTCTTCTCATCTTGCTAAATACTACTTGACAAGGGGTTACTGGTCCCACCCTCCTTACACCGATGGGTGTGCAACAGTAGCTCGACAGCTCCGAAACCAAGAGGGGAGTCTGTGAAAGCAACCAATGTACTACATACACATACGTCTATAGGGAAAGGAAAGGTCTCTGCGACATCTTCCTGAACCCTGTTTCCGTCAGTGGCGCCCCGTCTCGGTTGCGGACGAATCGGACAACAAACATCAAGTCTGGAGAGTGTGGTCATATTGACAAACACGCGGTACTTGCCCAGTCAAGCCACATGCATGGCATGTTCCGGGTGTTCGTACAAAAATGCATGTCCGAAAAACCATCTGGGTTCTCACGCAAACCTCAAGCATGTCGACAAACAAGGTAAAAGGAGATACGGACGACATGTACCAAGAAACAGCAGTACATAAAGAGAGTCAAACGCCGGATGTTTCCTCAGCCGCCTGGGGCCACGCCGACCGCGACACCTGCTACACACAGCAGTGGCATTATTTTTCTGCCAGGTATTTCGAATGTTGTCCCCACCCGGTGAAGGTTATCAGTGGAGCATGGGTGGGAGCTAGTTCAGTGGCGGCGAGGCGGACACGCTGTAGCTACTTCATAGTAGGTGTTCGCAAGTTGCGACTTGCTCGACCAGGCGGCTCGGACTCAAGTTGTTGCCGGTTTGCGTAGGTTACTTGAGCATATGCATACGTGAATCGGGGCGTCGAGCCTCTCAAAATAAGAATTATTGGTCCCAATTGTAAGCAGTTGGACAAACGAAGTGGTACCAAAGGAAGGAAGGAAGGGGGCGATCGCGAGAGTATTGCGCGTTGCTGCTGAAGCTGCTGCTGCCCGCTGCTGCTGTCGGTGTCAAAGTGGGTGTGTGATTCACGTCCCCGTATATGTATGTATCGAAGGTAGCCGCGCGAGTTACAGCTACATAGCTGCCTCTTGTGGCAGCAACACTGCTGCTGTAGCTACATGATCAAGAACTGTGCTTGTCTGGTCCACCCACCTGCCCCTCTTCCCGGCTTCGGTCATGCGTCGCATGAAGGCCGCCGCTGCGCTGGTCGACTTCTTCGCCTCCACGACCAAGCGGGCCGGCGTATCCGGCGCTGGGAGCTTCCGTCGCGAGCGCTCGTCGATGCGGGTGCCGCTATTCTGCATGTTGGCATCCGTGGTCGAAGAGCCAGCGGTCACCCCGGCTGGCGATTCGCCGACCCCGTCAGAGACCGCAGCAGCGCTACCCCCAGCGCTTATCCTCTCCCTTTGTTCTCCTTCCACCCCTAGCCGCTCCACGCCAGTAGCAGCTGCAGCATCGATAACATCGACTGTTGTGGTGGGAGAAGCTGCCGTCCGCAAAGCCCCACACACACCGCGCCATGCACCGCTACCATCAAGGTTGCCGTCTCTGAGGCAATGATGAGGGCGGTTCATTGTCGATCGGTTTGTGAGCGTGAGAAACGAAGAGGTGAAGCCTCGGGGGCGCGATCGTACATGACGACGTCGTGGTTGCTGCTGCTGTTGGAGGCCGCGGCCGGCGGCGGGGTGAACAAGGAGCAACGTGTTGCCCGAAGCGCGTTCGCCCGCTGTTGACCGCGAAACAAAACCCACCCCGCTGGCGAGAGCCGTGCACTGCTGTGGCGCCGTCCCGCGAGGGTGAGAAGGCATTGCTTCCTCGAAGTCACGCTGTCTCGGTGGTGCTACTCTGCTGATCCACCACCCCCCTAGCGTTCAACATTCACATTCAACGCGGGGCTCCGTAGTTTCGGTTTGTTGCCACCCACGTTGTAGGCATACACATGTGCACACGGATACGACGGAGCATCATTGCATCGCAGTGCCTCCGCACTGCCATCACGCACGATCACACGTGACGTGTCGCACGCCCGCGCCAACCCAACCAGGCCTCCACATCAGCCCAAGCCACGAAAGAGGAGTTGTGCACCTGGTCACAACTCGTTTTACTCGGGTGGCCCAAGAAGTTCGAACGTGTAAATTCAGCACTCCGCATTCCGCATCTTGAAGCAGCGAGGCACGTACGTGCAACCCAACCTCAGCACCCTGCCCCGGTCATCATGCCCCTGTGCCCGAACAGCACTGTGCTGGAAGGAGAAGAACTGGATTTTTCAAGTTCGTGCCCGAGGGCGCCACCCCACAAAAGTGGGCGCAGTGGCTGCGAGCTCCGCTCGAGTACGTCGCCGCTAGCGGCAACTTGAACCTCGTTGATAGGCTACTACTCAAGGCTGGGGCGAACTACCTGGAGGGATGGAGGGGCTGCCGAGGCCGGACTCTCCTCGACGCCGCTGCATTAGGTGGAAACGCTCATGTGATGCCTGCCTTGCTCCAAGCAGGGTGTGGGCCGGATGTCAATGCAGTGGCCGCTTCCACCGGTAGATCTGCGTTGTATCAGTCCATCGTGGGCAAACAAGAAGCTGCAGCGAGAAGGCTCGTCGTGTTCGGAGCCGATGTCAACTTTGAGGACCGTGCCAACAAAGCGGGCCCCCTCATCGCCGCTGTCAGAGGGCGGAGTATGCCGATGTTGTGCGTGATCTACTGATTGCCGGAGCAGATCCAAATGCCCATCAATTGGTTGGGACGGCGGAACTCCTCTGCACGCTGCCGCTGGGCGGGGCCTCGCGAGCACGGTTTCGGTGCTGTTGAGCTCTTCCAAGACGGACAAGAACGCCCTGAACAGCGATGGGCGATCCCCTCTGACGATGGCGTCATACCTTGGCCGCGGGTGCCGATGTCCACATACGAGGCGCTTCCGACCCCCATCGCAGCGTCCTTGGCCCTAGCGCTCGAAAGAGAGAGCGCGGCAACAGCCATGGTCAAGCATGGGTTAGTTGCCAATGCTGATGATGGGTACGGCTCGTTTAGTGTTGTTCACTGGACCGCTCTGATGGACCACGCCGTCTGTGCCGCGGCACTGGTGGATGCGGGAGCTGACATCGATCCAAGGTCTGGACGGAAGGACGCAGCACCTTTCCTTTTGGCGGCCAGAGCTGGAAGTAACGGAGCCCTGCTCGCCCTCTTGAGGCGGGGAGCCAGCGTCGACCAAACAACCAACAATGGATCTACGGCTCTACACATCGCAGCAAATTCGGGAGAAAACATGGGTGACACGGTCGATATTCTTATGAGATGGGGTGCCTCAGAACAAACCGTAGATCAGCAGGGGAGTACCCCCGCTGACGTGTTCACAAGGTTGGCGCTCGGAAGGGTGAAGGCGTGACCCGAGCTAGAGCACGCACTTGAGCTGTTGGCGCGCGCTCCAGCTGACAGGGCATGGCGTCGCCGGTGCTGGCTGGCCATGCTTCGTGGACGAACAAAAAAGGAATGGGACAACTCGGTGTTGGCGCTCGTCGAGAGGGCCAATAATGCAGACAATGGCCAGAGCATTATTCTCGGTGATCGGGTGACCGGCGACAGTCAAAAAGCGGGAAGACGACAAGGCCGCAGCCGAGGTCGCGGCGGCGCGAAGGCGGCCATCCAGACGGATTTGCGCGGCTTGGTGAACGTGCTGGTGAGGCTGAAGTCGGAAGAGGTGTTTCGCACCATTGTGTGATACATCGAAGACTCGAGAAACGCGGAGGGACAGGTGTGTTGCCGTTGGGGGCTGGAGCTGTATCCATTGGTAAAAGTTTAGATTGGGAGGTCCTCCTGCCGCTGGCCGAAAGCTCAATCATTTTGAGGAGTGTCGGATTGTGAGTTTCTTAGCTATTGCTAACACGCACGTGCCCACCTTGGAACGTGACTCCTCTTATCTCGTGCTGCATTGGTGTCATGTTTGACTTGATACACCCCCCCGTTGTTCAGGACCGGGGACATAGGCCTTCGAGAAAGTCGGCGAAGATATAGGACGGTAGACGACGAAGGCGACGAGTTCAAATGTGATTGCGGCTTCGAATGCGAAGACCGTGTTCATGTAGTCGCGGAATGTCCGTTGTACAAGAAGGAGAGGGAAGTGTACGTGACTGAGCTGGGAAAAATAGATGGAACGTACAGGGAGATGTTTGAGGCATGGAATAGAGAGGAAAGGACGGTAGCTGTAGTGGGGCATAGGAGGTGGGTTGAAAAGGCGGGAAGGGATATCGTTAGGATAGGCAGACTTAGACAGACAGGGAAGACATTTTTGAGCCACCCTTGGCAAAGTAGGAAGGAACGATTGGCCATTGGTGATCGGTCCTGTGGGAACAATGCTCCGTCCTCTCGAGGACGCGTGGTCAATGGTCTAACCGCTAAGGCACACCAAACACAAGAGTTCGTCCCCCCCCCCGTTGCTCATGAAGTTTGGGGGGAACGGGATGATCCAGCTGATGGTGCTGCTCTACAATTGGGTGTGGAGTAACGAGTATACGCCAAGTAGATGGAGGGAAGGAGTGGTTGTGAACTTGTGCAAAAAAGGAGACAAGACTGACCCAGGAAACTACAGGGGGATCACACTGTTGAACACAGTACGAAAAGTGTTCTGTGAGCTGCTGAACGATAGGATAGTGGGAGTATTGGAGAAGGAACATAGCATTAGTGAGGGCCAGGCAGGTTTCCGCAAGAAGAGGGGGTGCGTAGACCACGTGTTCACGGTAGGGAGAATCATCCAAGGTAGAAAGAGGGCGGGAAAGCCGACGTACTGCTTCTTCCTGGACGTGAAAAAGGCATACGACACCGTATGGAGAAATGGGTTGTGGAAACAACTGTCCAAATACGGGATCAAGGGGAAAATGTGGAGAGTGGTGAAGAAGATGACAGAGTG